TGTAAATCGACCTGAGGTATAACGGTGCAACTCTTCGTTGATCGCCATGTACTTCTCAGGTACTCCATTCCTCAACAAACAGTTCCATAGTGCGGTCGACAGAGTCGAAGGCCGCCCGGATGTCTAAGAACATAATGATCATTGGTCTATGGTAAGCATGACGGTGTTCAAGCAGTTATCGGAGGGTGAGTATTTGATCGATGCATCCACGACTGGCACGAAACCCAACCTGCTCCACACGCATAATGTACAATCGGAGAAGAATGATAGACACTATTACCTTTGGCGCTATTGGGATAAGGCTTATTCCCCTATGACTGATGCAGTCACAGCGCGGGTCATTTTTAAATATGGGGATGACAACCGATTCCCCCTCTCACAAGATGAGAGAACCTGCTCATTGTGCCAGACCTTAAAAACAGAGCCACCGATTATCTAACAAGCTTTATTTCATCATCTTTAAATTAGAGCTGGAGGAAGGCCATCGAAACTTTGTGACGTCCCCGGGCTTGGATCTCCCTACGGATTTCCGCCTCAGAAGATGGGTTTGTTGAGACAGACCATGGGACGTGCGCTGTAGTAGCTGTGTGAGGAGCAGACGTTGGTGGCCAGCTAAACTGTGCCTTGAAGTGTTCCGCCCAGCGTGCAAGACGTCGTTGTTGATTATGAATGGGCGAACCGTCAGCTTCGCAAGTCGTTTCGCTGACTTTCCTACGGGTGACCCGGATGAGATGGAACAGCTTACGGGAGTTTCCCATGGCGGCAGTATGTTCCTTCTCTGATGTGAGTTGAGTCCACCAGCTTTCGCGGTCTCTACGTAGGCTTGCGTTGAGGTTACGACTCTTTGCGTATCCTATTTCATCAGGCTCGCTGCCGGTCGGGATTGATCGGCGTGCTTGGAGAAGACATAGAGACTCCGCCGAGTCGGTAGACCAACCGACTCCAGTTTACGCAGCATGAGAGAGTGCCTCCGCATGCGTTCCTCTGTCCGTAGTGGGAAATGCTGCCGCAGCTCCGGACCCATATCACCCCTTGGGATCTTCCTCAAGCAGATCAGATCCCCCTAATGCGCCGATATGTAACTGGGAATAGACCAGTGACCTGTAGACGGCCTTCGTAGTTTGTCCCACGCAGTCCAACAACGAGCCTAGTGGTAGTTTGTACGCACTCCGACTTAGCCAGTTCACCGGTCGTGTGATCGGCGGTTTCTTACGACGGTCAGAAATAAGTGCATTCAAAATTGCACATCTACCGCTGGACTGTTCCATTAGTTATGATTGGTCTGTCTCAGGTAAGCCGCTTCGTTCTGTGTAACCCAACTTACCCATGTTCATATCGTTCTTCCAAATGAATAGCTCTCATCAATCCGGTACTGTCTTGTGGAATTAAAACAGTAGTTGAATGAAGAAACTGATCGTATTTGGCCAGCCTGTGTACTTTCTATGCATGATATTTTCTAATGTTTTCTCATTATTTGATATATCTTTCTCTTCGTCCCACGTGCAGGAGTTTTGCAACATCTTCGCCACTCTACTACCTGGAAGCAAAGCACGCTTGTTTCCCCCGGAAAATCAGTCTGTGTTGGACGGATTGGAAATCAAGGTGGCATTCGGGGATGTCTGGAAAGAGTCGTTAAGCGAGCTGAGCGGCGGCCAACGGTAAATCCTAAACAGTTATTTTTTCAAGTTGCCTTTCAGTATATGTGGTATTGTGAGTGAGCCGCTCGTTCATTTACGACGAAAGCTTCAAACATACGGTTTTTTTTTGTTGTACCTGACCTACTGATTCGTTTATTTCAATTGTTCAATCAAGCGCGCAACACAGTAAATGTTGTACTCACCACCAACCTACACATGTAGTTCCCTTTTAGGTCCGGGCTAGGATGAACTTCCCTTATATTCTCCATGTCTTTTGAAAAAAGTCAGAGAGAAATCGTCGCTCTAGAAGAGTGGCTTAATTCACAGAAGTTTTCGCATGTAGAATAAACCCGGATTAAAACGGAATCAACTGGAAATAAAACAACACAAAAAGGGTGAGTGCTGTCGCCCGACAATTGCATTTACGGATAGGTTTGTGTAGATCGCACTCATAGACTGGAGGCGGGTAGTATCTGAAGCTTGTAATGTTTAAGTTGTGGATTAGAAATAGCTACATAAAAACAAACATGAGGATAGTTTATCAACAGAATCAATGGTGCGGTCCGAACCAGCCCTTTCTAAACATGAACTGTTCCCGTACCTCGGTGTTCCATCTTCCGGTTCGANNAAAACTTGCTACTTCTTCACTCCAAAATGCGCTTCTTCTATCCCTTTCCCGTCCTTCATCTCTTCAGTTCCCTGGCTGCTTTGTCCTTAATTTTGGCGCTGTTGTTGTTTAAACCCGCTCCATTGTACATTTTGGACGAGGTCGATGCTGCGCTGGATTTGTCACATACACAAAATATCGGTCAACTGATCAAACATCACTTTCAGCATTCACAGGTAAGTTACCTTATCCATTGCTTCACTGGTCTTCATGCAGCAACGATTGCTTTTGTTGTTGGTTTTCGTCTACACATTCATCAGATGGTTTCGTGGATCAACTCTTTTTTCATCGTGTTCTGACAACGGATTCATGAATCCTTCGGTTACTGCCTTTTACAGTCACATGCAGTGCGACACTGTGACTTGGTAATTTTGAGACAAAAATGAAATTTGCGAAGAATAAACCAAACAGAAGTGCTTCGTTCGCTGAAATACAACGCGCTGTTCTTTCATCAGAACTTGTTCATTCTTGTTAGTAGCAGACAAGTATCCAGCNAGACAAGTATCCAGCTGTTTCAGTTTCAGTTTGAACAACCATTAACCATGCACCTTCGTGCAAAGGTTTTGGTTGCCCATTTAGTTAAAGAGATAGGAGATTGGAAAGTTGAAAGCAGTACCATGAGGAATATGGGGAAGTCTGGTATGATAAAGTTGCAGCGAAATTGGGGAGATGCACAAGCGCCACTGTTTGCAATACTGAACCGCATTAGGGTGTATTTAACCGTCAATTATAATGAATACAAGGTCCCCATGCAGAAAGTCTAGCGTGTGAGCAATTCTCCTGTTCGGAATTTTCATACCCACGTACCAGGTCTTAATTTGACCACTCGCGACTTTATTCGATCCACTAACTGCATCGTACACGGTGGCAACCCGTTCAATGGCATGCGTAACACATGCCACAACTGGTGTACTCTATAGAGGTTAATCGCTTGCTCCAAGGGGTAGCCGCGATCACCTTGAACTCAGTACCTATCCTTTGAATTACTCCTCCGGTTTCCTCACCAGACTCGCGCAGTGCTGCGTAGACAGTAGTGTTCACACACCGATAGTTCATCTTTATCCTGTTTTCGTAACGGCCAAATCTATGCACGTATAGTGGCATCGACCGAAGTGCTGAAAAATATGCTCGACCCTCCTCGGACAACCGGATGTCGCGACGGTGCAAAGATGTCTCAAGATAGCAAATGTCAATCAGGCTTTCTGTATACGAACTGACACGTCATCCATTATGCGTCTGCCGGGCGAGATATAGCTGCCCAAATAACTAGTAGGTCCACTTGCTCTTTTATCTCCCTCCATTAATGTGGTTCGAAGCTGGACTAGTCCTGTAGCAACATTTTACCATTTGAAGGTGGATTCGGCTTTGATATAAAGAGGTTAGGGTTTCTACAAACAAACACACCAATAACTGTCAAAAACTGTAGTGCCGCAATGGAGATGTAGCGCGATGCTTGTTTTTAGAAGCGGAGGTCTGAGTGGTTACCTTCTACCTTCAGAAGATATTCACTTCGATACTTGCCGTAGATGGTGGTGGGTTCCGTATGTCGACATCACTTCCGAGTTTCCCCTTCAACNCCCTTCAACTTTTCTGTCTACTCATCAAATCAAATATCACGGTTGCATCGCTGTTAACTGTCTTGAAAAGTGGAAATTTCCAGACCTCATTTCATCAAATAGGGCTCCCCGTACAAGCGAATGCATTCATTGCATCAATCTGTGCAACTGTAATTGAGTTGTGTATGCACTTGTTGCAGATCTCTTACGTTATTGTCACTCCATTCAAGCAAATGTGCAGCTTGGTTCTTTTATTACACACTATTCTGTGATAAACAGCAGGCGGGGCGGACCCCATTGTCACGAAGATCTGCTGTTCAGTGATTTTAACCGGCAATCTAAGTCCCAGAATGTGGAGTGGTGAACCACATAAGGCTCCACTAGGATAGGCGTGGAACCGGGCGACAACGGCTAGACTTAGCAACTATAGCACACCAATTTTTGACTCAACCCTAGTGATAGACTCTGTATGTGAACCAACATGGTGTTTCGATAATCTTAAATTAATGTGTTTTCAGCTATGATGAGAACGTCGATTAACTCTCTTGTTCCGTTCGAGTGCATCTATCGGTTATTAACTCTGCTGGTGAACTATTATCGGTAGTTGGCACNATATCATCAACAAACTCCAATAAACAAGAGATTCTTGTCAATATGGTTCGGTCAGATTTCTAGATCGTGCCGCGTCGCTGTGTTGTTTGTGATGCAGTATATAGATGTTACAAAAAAAGATTGACTGTTGGTCAAAGTTATCGATAGTCAGTTTATCTTGGAGTGAAAAGTCAAATACGCAAGAGAAGTACGGGTAATAGCTTCTTCAGTATCCAAGATTTGTTCAAACAGACATCCGACTGTCGTTGCGAGTGGACTCCGATGCCTGCGGTGTTCTAGAATTTAAATGGACAGATTTGTGATGGTCACATATCTATCGTCGGCGATGTCTTCAGACAGCTTGCTGAATCGCAAGAGCATTTTTTCGGTTTTCGCCCCGATGCAAAAAGTGATTCTTTGTTTGACTATTTCACCGCTGCCCATTGTGCATAAGTAAACTGTCCGAATACAGTACAAATAGTTGTTCTATCCCTTTGGTTAAAGTAGTAAATGTTGTGGGCATTCGCTTCACATTTGGATCAAGCGATGATCTGGTCGGTCCTGATTTTACCTCTCGCTAAACGCCCCATTTTTGCCACCCACCTCTAACAAACAGCTATCGTCCTGGATTCCGGGTAAAATTTTGATTCCGTTGACGTTTTCACGTCATTCCGATTTTCTTTTTGTGAGAATATGCCTTTAGGGTGCCCTTCATTTACAAAAGGCAGAAGTCTGATTTCGAACACTGAATTACCACGTTTATTTTATTCGCTATCCCCTTATTCGTATTGCGTATCGACTAAGTCAACAGGTACATTACAAACATCCCTTCTTAATTTACCTTCTGTAGTTTCTCATTGTATCACTCAAAGATGGAATGTTCAACAATGCTAATGTACTGTTCAAAACCAAATTCCAAGATGGTGTATCCACCGTGACGCGACATGTTCCACTTCGAGTAGCAGGTGCAAAACAGACATCTGATGAGAACCGTGCTCCCGGAGAAGATCGACAGCGGAAGAAGGTTCGCTAGATAACCCAGTGGGCGGCCACACGCGTGCCGAACTCAGATTTGTTTCGACTTATTTTGTTGTATACTTCCCGTGTATATGTTCTGTATGACGTTATTCCTCCCCCCCCACACCACCTCTTCTTCTCCCCAGTTGTTGTAAATGATATATAAGTAATACGAACCACCTTTATCAATTTAGACAGTTTTATCCATTACAGTCAATTTCGCAACATGCCAGTCTTCAACCGTAATAACCAAACTTGATCTTATGCATCATCATGGTACAGCAAAATATAGTGAGGCGAACTTCACTGACCGCTGCCTAACTCGCAATGCATACAAAGTGGTAATATGTAAGGTGGACAGCGATTGAACCTGTTTTGTGTACGCTCGAACCCATGGCCCTTCTCGGTCTTGATATGAAATCACTCAGACACGAAAATCGCTTTTACCCTGCTCATCAAAACAAATACGAACCGATTTGGGCGGTATTGAATTGGAATTCGAACTTATCTGTAGTGAAGTTAGCCGTGAGTGCCGACGCCAGTCCGTAACACTCGAGCAGTTCACGAAAGCTATATGTTGCACGATTCTTCTGGAGGCTAGTACATGAGTGAGCTAGCTTGTTTTTTAACACAAAATGTCGCGAGATATAAAGAAATCTATTTAGGATTCAACTCCACACGAGGCATTGCTGGAAGTATTATGTTTCCGAACAGAGATTCTTGAAAAACGTAAAATCCAGGGTATTTATCCGGCTCGGACTATAAATTATCAAACAATGCCAAAATGTAACTAACCTGGATGGGCCGTATGCTGTTCATGAGGAAACTGCTGCAAATGACCATGTGATTGTGTTAAACTGTTACCTAATTACCTTGCACCGGTGGAGATTTTGCGTTGGTCCTCAAGAGACTCCACAGAACGTCTATTTCTTTTTTCTGCAAAACAAAAAAAAACGCGTTAAGCAAGTTGGATTGAATTTACTCCTAAAATGCCGAAGTATGATGTGAAAGCTAAAACAAACATTGGGGACAAAACGGTTCGGGAAGAAAGTCGATTGTATGTGCGTCGCACAAATCTGACCCCGATAGTTTGTGAATCACGAAATTGTGCTTAGAAGTAGTACTGCATGGATTCAGATAGCACAGGTTCTAAATGCTGCTTATTGATCCATGAACTGATTCCAAATGTACAAAACGACAACCGTTGATTTTAATAACTGCTGAAAGATTATTTGTTCACAATGGGTTTTTACTGGTTTGTTGTACTACTAAACAGCTTGTACTCAGCTTTGTTAATTGGGAACCGAGGTCGATTGAGTGGGTAACCGAAAATCTAAAAAACACTGAAAAGAAATATGAAGAACGAGTTTAGTTGCTATAGTTTCGACTGATAAAAGGCAAATCCTCGGATATTTACAAAGAAACTATGCTCTTTGTAAATTCAAGCCCCGTTCTCGTTTTCTTTAGCAAATATGTTGCTTGATCGTCACTTCTTAGTCATTTCTATTTTTTAAACAGTCCCACAGAGCACATTTCAAATAGAACAAAAAGTGGCGAACAAGCTCGTTTTCAGTGATTTGTAGTCATGCCCAATACATCACAATAAATATTATGCTGTTTATATTATAAATCAGTAATTAACCATAAAAACGCAAACAAATGTTTTGGGAAAGGGGAAATAACCTCATTGAGAATTCCGCATCCAGACCCCAGATAACCCATCAGATTATCTTCCCTTTCTCAAAACATTTGTTTGCGCTTTTATGGTTGAATACTGATTCATATATAAACAGCATGATATTTATTGTGATGTATTTGGCATGACTAAGAATCACTGAAAACGAGCTTGTTTGCCACTCCTTGTTCTGTTTCTATTTTCCTTCCGCGCTCACTAGCAGTGTTACTTTCTAACCGAGCCAGCCCCTATCCGACAAAACTATTATTTGACAGAAATGACATCCGGTTTACATTATCATTCGGATTTAGGAGAGACTGGTAATTTGATGGACAATGTGCCGTCTAGAATTTTATCACTTTTAATACAATGACAGCGGAAGAGATCTAACTATCAAACCGGGGTCCACATTAGTTTCATTTTAGCAAATGTTGGATTGCGGTCTAATGTGATGCTGCTCGCAATAACTTCATATTTCGTTTAAGGCAATCACGAAGTGACGTGCGGAACACTGTTTCCAAACAGAAACGTGCAAATGTTTCCTCATCTAGATGGCTGGATTAATTAAAGTGCGCCTAACCCCGACAATGCTTGCTCGTCGCTGCGCCAGACTACTACGTGCTGTTCCAGCATAAATTACATAAATTTGGTCGCGCGCTAGTGCCGTTGACTTTAGTTGGTTGCGGTAGCCCGGCTACGCTGAGTATTTTGCCGGATATTTTTCCTCGGCTTATACTGGTCATTTAGGAAAGTGCTATGCTAGTGGTCCTAACACTGATTTGACATGCAAGAGTCTTGATCCTTCAGGTCCCATTGGGCTTACCGTTTGCGGAACTCGTGGTCAACCTAATCACTGATTAGACACCGAGTAATATAACCGACTGTAATTAATGGTGCTCGGGTACCACCTTACTTTCGACACATTTATCTTACCTATAATCATAATCTCAGCACCCCCGTTAACTATGTGTGTCTGTTATTGGCTAACTTAATAGGTAACCTAAGAGTGGCAAGCAAAATCGTCACGCGAAATTGCGAGTTTGATTGGTTCGTAAATTTTACACTAGTAAAAATGAGAACAAATTTTTCTATTATCTGCATTTTGTGTTGAACAGTAGATGGGGTGAATCCCAAAGTCGCCTGATATTCAGTGATGGCAACTGCCTAGAAGTAGCGAACCACGTAAGGCCTCACTAGGATAAGCATCGTAGTGAACCACATGACAGCAAAGCTGCCTACCACCAAAGTTAGGAGGCGGTGACAGGGTTCAAAACTCGAACCATACGATCCAAAGCACGCTGGTGACAGCAACCAAACACTGCGCCATAGTATGATTAGGATCAGTGAGCAAATAAGTATTCCTGAGGTTCATGGGACTATATACAGAAATATGCCCGGTAAAAGTAAATAAGGATTTCTAAAACCGTTGAGTAAGATAGCTCTCCCACCACCACGAGTTTCGGTGGAAGACAGTTGCGTTTCCATTATTTTTTTCGGGACTTATGTAGCTACTTGAATTTCTGGGGCGTATATAACCTTTTCCTACAATCGAACAGTAGGTTTTCTTGACTATGGGGTCAACCCTTGTACTGCTCACTATTTTGAGATGATTGGCCACGTATACAAGGGAGACAAAACATCAGTCTAAAACTACTAGCTCTAGGTTTCATGTTACTTCCTTTTCTACGTAAACGAAGGTAAAATGATGGAACAAGGAACAATGTATGTGGTAGTTTTATCCAGGTGGTGAGAAGTGGCTTGGTTATGGGCGCAACCCGAATAACCCATAGCTCTAAATGTGTCTGTAAATCGTCCGGGAGCAATTTTCACCAAATTCTGTTGAAACTTGGGCAATCTAAGGCCTAAGCCTTAGGACAATCACGAACTATAACCATTTATGGCAATTCCATTACATAGTTGTGAATATAACCTACTGCTAAATTTTCCTTGCAGCTTGCTTGTTGAAAAGACTGCCTGGATGCATGCAGTCCTATAAGTTTCAATCCCGCACACGAAAATCCCTTGAAATGTTTTTAGACAAATTACATTCATGTGTTGCACTTATCGCTCTTTAATATATATAAATGCACAGCTGATTATTATCCTATATTGGATAAGATAATAACAATCTAAGGAACAAGATTTTGGTATTGTCGTTATCAGTAACCTAAAAACTCGTGGGCATACATAGGGCTTTTGCTTCTGCATGGGTTGGTCCTCTAGTCCTGACTGCTTTCAGGTTGCTGTTTACCTCCCACATGTGCCCTCCATGGAGATATGGTGACCTTTCGTTGTACGCTTTCGCTTTTGGAAGCGTTCACCCGGCAGGGTTGGTTAGCAAATGGAAGAAACTATTGTCAGCGAGCAAAACCATGACGCGCCTAATTAAACCAGTCATTTTTCAAGTAGTTCAGTTCTATTTGCACAGGAAAGGAAATGAACACGGTCAATCGAGCGTCTAGAGTTCTTTCGGCGGTATCCACGGGTCCGGTAATCCGTCGGTTGTCTAGTTCTTCTCAATCCCAGATGCCTCCGGTTCACGCCACTCATCGAATATCAATCGGCTAAAAAAGAAACCGAAAGGACAACTCATCTCACCTGCCAGGGTTTTTAATATTTCTAGTGGGAGAGCTAAATCACTGCTCAATCCACTAACAACTTCGTCCCACCTTCGATCTAGGGCTAGCTTAAAATTTGAAACTGTCTGTATTTCTAGTAGCTCTTCTGGCAATCAGTTCCATATATTTCCTACCCAATTACTGAGGAAGTGCGACCTAGCTAAGAACCTGGATCGAGATTCCCTTAGCTTTTTAGTGACCCTTTGTTTACTAATCGGGGTCTTCCTGAAATAGGCTCTTCGGGCCTAAACCTAATAAACCCTTTATTATTTTGAACGTTTCGATGAGATCACCCCGGAGTATTCTTTCCTCTCTAGAGAAAAGCCTCAGGCCATGAAGTCTATGATCATACGACTTTCTCCTTTTACCTTCAACCATTCTCGTTGCGAGCCTCTGAAAACCCTCTACGGAGGCAGCATGCTTTTGAAGAGGGGTGACCATATTGAAGCACCTGTACGACAGTCTGCTCCCCCCACTGACGAAGAATCACTACTAGATGCAGACTGAGCCTAAGTAACAGGCCTGAACTGATATAAAAGGGCTGAGAATTCGGTGAGCCATGTACAGTACAAGCAGGAAAACCATTAGTTAATTTAATAATGCTTGGTGACGCATGAAACCGTTGCGGCCACTATTTTTATGTAAGACAGCTATGAACAGAACGAATATCAACACCGAAGCTTATATTAATCTTCCCACAGGATTTTTGTCAAGATGAAAGGG